ATATATACACATTCATCCAATTTTTTTCACCCAAAAAATTACTCATACTTCATTATGATTCACGTATGCAATCATATTTATTATTTACTTTTGGCTGGCAAAAGAATCATGGTCACCGTCTTTATATTTCATTTTTACAGACAAAACGTGTAAAGTAGTAAAAATTAAGAAGAAGAAAAGGTGAAAAATTATGGGCAAAATTCGACCCCCACCAAAATATGTATGTATTGTTTCTCTATATATACATGTGCAATATATTCCTAGAAGTAGGACAAATATGTCAGTCTCAATTGCCCCCACATGTGGCAAACCTTTTTCTTTAATGTCTTCTTGGGTTAATTGCTTTGTTTTTTCTCCGAAGTAAGTTAAAAGTCTCTTCTTCTTTTGACCCAAATTGGCATTCTTCCCTTCATTCGTACGGTAGGGAAATTGATTATTGAATCATCCTCAGCCACCCATCTACACATAAACACAAAGATTTCACCAAGAATATCACGACTAGGATGAATTTCATGTGTATTGAACCGGCTAATGTTAAAGAATAAACAAATGAGTTATGGATCGTAACCAAATTATATGTAGACCTAGCTATCTAGCATTTACACACATTATTGATATAGTGGATAGCAATCAATGTCATATCATCAGATGTTTCCACATGAAGACATTTCTCAATAATTCGATGGAGGAAAAAAAAAATCCATACATCATAATTATGGATTCGACTGTTTAAACTTCACTTGTTGGAGAGCAATGGCTGTGGGGGTGAGATGCGGGGCAGGACATGACATGACATGACATAACATGACATGACACGATAGGTACGGAACGAAAAAACTTCTCGTGGGATTCAAAGATTCAGTCTTAAATTATTGTTGTAGGTTAAATAAATATTTTTAATCATACGATGAATATGTAATATCACATTTGATCCCAACTATAATCAGTAGTGTTTTTTAATAATAAATTTGAGTTCAACTGATTGAGAAAGATATGATCAAGAACAAACAAGGGCCACGAGGAAATCCCTAGCATAGTGGTTTCATCGTCTGGGGTCCCTAATAACTATATTTTAAGTTTCTTTCTTCTTTATTTATAGTCAGTATTGTCAAATTTAGTGTACTAAATATACCGCGACTGCAGAAAATTTGTCATTACCTGAACTGAGTAACAAAATGATGAAGAAAGATAGAGGTTTCCAGCCTGGCCAGGTCAAGTCCAGGGCACAGCCTTTGTCCTCCTCCAAATGGGGTGAAATTGCAAATGTTCATCTCCTTGTCCTTGATCATCAAGATCCCAACATTACATAATTAAATTAAATTCAGTTTAATTTAAATTAATTATCCAAAACTAGAATGCCTTAAAGAAAGAGAGAACATTTCTTACTTGCCATCTCCATGGATTAAACTGATAAGGGAAATCATAAAGATCATCATCCAAATGCACTGATCTGAAATATGTTAACACACACCATCCCTTAGGGATGCAATACCCTTTTATTTGTACATCTTTTGTAGCTTTTCTCATCACCCCAATAATAACATTTCCCATCCTTAGAGTTTCTGTAATCACCTGTCATACAAAACATTTTTTTTACGCGCCAATATCGTATATCTATGGTGAAACACCTGCTTTTATGAGTGTCGTTCGTGCAATTTCATGCGTAGAAGTGTATTGTATGTGTGTGAAGTAATGAACTTACACTTTGTGTAAAAGGCAGTGACAAGTAATCACTCCAAGACAATGTCTGTCCTAAATTTTCTTTTTGTCTCTTCAATTTCAGGTTCTCCTCCTGCATCACAATGTGAATTAAGGCCTTATGAGACGGTGAAAATGTTCGACCAATTTTGATCATTCAAGTATAAGGTACTCATTCGAATAGTCGGACTGATCGAATTTCAGAATGAGTGCAAACGTACTGTCAATTGCTGAAGGGCAGAAGGACAATCAGACACGTATCTAATAGCAAGAGTCATCAGGACGGGTACTGAATCTTCACCAGGAATCATCAAATCAATGATATTTTCCGCAATTAGATCGTCTGTTAGTTGTTCACTCGTGTCACTGATCAAAACATCTGCTACATCTTTTGGAACCACTGGTTTGCTGCTCCTTTTTCCTTGGATAATCCTATGAATCATCTTAACCATTTTCTTCTTTGCCTATAACCAAAATCGAGTATATGTTCATAATCAGAAATGCACAAAGAGACACATAAATTTATATTGGTTCGACCATAAGGCCATAAGGTCACAACCTAAGTATATTTGGGTCACCTAATATATTGACGTGTCAAATACATGAGAGTCAACACTTGCCTGCAACGATCGATAGAGTTGACTCCCCGGCACATTTATTGGTAAAGACATGAGACCCCCAATAAATTCTTGAAATTGTTTCTTTAGAAGATTCATTTCGTATCCCGGATCCAAACCAATCAATGCTTTCACTAGTACTTGAAAAGCAATCTGAAAAATGTAAAAAAAATAAAATGTGAACATAACTGAAGAAAAAATTAGGAAACATAATCATTATTAGGGTTCTAATCTTTTCCAACACAATTCATTCTAAAGTACTTTGCTCCTGTAAGAACCCATGATTATGCTTCAAATTATTTTATCAAAAAATGATCATAAACTCAAGTACAAGCAGCTGCAGTAATGATTCAAACATCAAAAGTTATAGACTTGCAACACGACGAAAGAGATTGTAGTAGAAGTAGTACTTTCAAATTTGATGTTTTTTAAAAACTTCTGTCTTCTCCTCGTGATGTAATTTCTGGAGATAAAGTTGTATCTTCCTCTTCCTAATTATACTTATCTTTTATATATAAAACAAGATCGAGGAATCCAAGGCCTAAAACTCCGCTCAGACTTTGATGGTGTTTCGACTAAGAGAGAGAGAGAGAGAGAGACTGACATTTTTTGTTTCATCTTGGATGTAAACAGGATAATCTTCACTCCATTTTGCTGTTGATTCCACCAAATACTTCTGCATGTCATAGGTGATTTGAACCTTCAAACTTCGAGACTTAAAGAAAGAACCCATTAATCCATGGATTCTCCTTTGTAGACTTCCACTAATAAGCAATATAGAAGACTTCCCCATCAACTCTGTGAGAGATTTTGGGTAAGATGGCACAAATGTTTTTCCATCACTTTGCAGAACAATTCTACTCACTTCTGCATCTGTCGAAATTATAGTCGCGCTTCCAAATATATGCGACTTGAAAACCTTCCCGTACCTACAAATTAAACAAACCCCCCAAGATTTTCAATCAAATACGAGAAATATTTATCTGTGTGTGATTGACTACTTACATGCGACGACGTTTGTCCATGAAGCTCTCCGGGCGGTGAGAAAGAGCACAAGAAATAAACTCAACGGTTTCTCCAATAAAAGGCCATCCAAGAGTTCCTAATGGTAATGGGCTGCTGTAATAACTCGAAAGAATCGCACTTTTGATTTTCGTGTAGAGAATTATAATGAACAATAATGTTGATGTCATCACCAAACTCCACATAATACTGTCCATTTCTCGAACTCGAACTCTCCACCAAGTAAAATCAGTAACTGTTTATCTTAACGAAATATGACTAATCTTGATGATAGTTATGAGAAGAATGAATGTATATATCTCTGCATGTGCACGCACACGTGTGTGTGTGAATATGTGAGAGAGAGAGAGAGAGAAGACAGATAGATATATTTTGTTTGTTCCCTTTTTTTTCTAGGAATACATTTTTTAATAGAATAAAGCTATTTGTACAANTTGTTATTTCATTCATACATTTTTTTAAGAAAAAAGCTATTTGTACAAAAAGAATTTGACAAAAATGTTGACAAACACTCACATGATTGCCGGCCCCACATGAATAAAAAATTGAAAATAAAAAGTGGGCCCCCCCACATGTGAGTGTTTGTCAATATTTTTGTACAAATTCTTTTGTACAAGTAGCAAGGTCCTTTTTAATATTAGATTGACGGAGAATGTGTGGTTGAAAAGAAAAGATAGAAAACTATATTTTAAAAATAACGAGGATAAAAAAGGGCATGATAATGTTGTCTGATGAAGAGGACAGAATATAAGTTGAGTTTGAATCATCATATATTGCCTCGAGAGTATGTCTGAATATACGTCTTTCTAGATAATTTGAAGCTAGGTACAAATTCTTTTGGGAGAAAATTGCAGCAGAGGTTCTCGACTCATTGTCTGTGTTATAATTTTGTTTATAAACTTTTAATATGGAGCATTAGTTTTCGATTTTTCACTTTTATTGCATCCATAGTCCCAAACCCCAAACCCCCCACCGTTCCCATAGTTACTCCCCATCGTCACCTTTAGCACCTTCATCAAGGTCCTTGATACAGTATACATTTTTAATAAGTTTTTCACATGTGACATGAAGAACGAATTTATTATTTACATATTGGCATAATTAAAAATTACTTTAAATTTTCGTGTGTATGTTTATCCAAGGAGTGACGAGTAACTTGAGGTTCATGTTGAGATTTTGTACCTTCACTGTCCATTGTTGGCATTCTTGACGCACACTTGTTGCCTGGTTTGACATTCAATTAATAGGATGAGAATTTGGATGAAAATGGTCTAGGATTACTTGTTAGGTATGATAAAAACATTCGTTCAATCCGATATCCACAGGTCCCACTTCAAATATGGCGGGGTTTATCGGCCTAACCAGGTAAACGGGGTGGGGATCGTTGCCCCTAAGTTGGTACGAGACGTGTACTGAAATTATAGTCTCTGCAACGTTTAAAGTTAATATCAAATTTAAATTTTTTATCAAACAAAAATAAAAAATTATCATTATTTTTAAAGAAAACATGAATTGTTCTTAACAAATTGGAA